ATAATACAAGCGACAAAAATATAATTTTGATAAACTTGAGATGATATTTAATTTAAGTACACATGTACCTAATACTTTTTATTAATATTTTGTATACGAAAATTATTCACGTTCAATACACGTGGTATATTACTGGTTAACTAAAAATGACGGCAAGTGCAAGAGATTCTTGTCACTATAGAATTTGAAAAACATCAAATTTTGAAAATGAATGAGAAGTGGTGGAATGTGGAGAATCACATATTAGATCACTCCAGTGTGGCACGAAGTCGTTGCTGCTTTGTCGAATAGTTTTACAAAAATTGTTTTCGTAGATTAAATAAAAAAATTTACTCGGATGAGCTCAAGTTATCAGGACCCTGATAGGAATATGCTAACTTGTACAACAACTCGTTAAAGCTCATGGAGCACAAACTTAGGGTGTTTGAAATGACTATTTAGAAGTGTTTTTAGAACTTATGACTTTTCATAAGTACTTTTAAAAAAAAAGTAATGTTTAAAACAACTTATTTTAATTATTTCCTGATAAATCAAAAATACTTTAACCACTTAAATAAGTAAAAAAAAAAATAATAACTTTTTCTTTCTTAAAGTCACTTCTCCACAAAAAATTTCACCACCACCACCACCCCATTACCATCGCCCACCACCAGCACCATCACTGTCACCCTATCACCCTCGCCTACCACCATCACTACCATTATCGCCGCCACCACCACCATCGTCCGTCACCACCACCACCACCTATTCCATCACCATCACCACCACTGCCCGTCACCACCACCATTATTCCATCACCACTACCACCATCACTATTCCATCGCCACCACCGCCCACTGCCAGTCACCACCACTACCCATCACCACCACTGTCACCATCCCCCACCACCGCCCACCATTGCCACCTTGTTGTCGTCGTTACCTTACCACCACCGCCCACCATCACCATGTACTTTTTGATAAAAATATTTTTTATTTAAGTATTTTTTTGTTTGAGCATCCAAATGGTGTTTATTTAATAAAAGTATTTTTTTATATAAAAATACTTTTTAAAAATACTTATTTAAGAAAGTACTTTTTAAATTTTATAAGTCATCCTACAGGCAATCTTAATCTATTTCAAAGGTAGAGAGAAAAAAGAGGAGATACGATCATCCAGCATGAAGTTATTATGCAGTACATGCATTCAAAGGCATGAATTTCGGGGGACAACTTGAAGGAACAAATAGCCATCAACTGTTAATTTAGGTGTCGTCACCTTCCAAATGGGAGATCTTATGATCAAATCTCGTTAGAGACGATATACAAATTCGGTGAAAAAAATTATTAATATTTAATGCAGGTTTAATACCTGAATTTCATTTTCACAAACTATTTAGTGATTATAAACATCCTTCTTTTAGGCATAGGCTAGACATATCCTATGAATCTGTGTAACAAAAATAGTCCATGGAACATGCAATTGATCACAAGAACAGTGGAGTTACTTGGAAAGATCCGAGTAATTTTAATTAGGAGCACAAATACACTTCTTATTACCATCTTCGACAACAAAGTTTAATCTTACTAACATAAATGACTTGTTTAAATGGATTTTTTGGGGGATTGGTTTCTCCAAAATCCCTCTTTACAAAGATGAGATTCAATATTTGAATCTAGTTTATACCCAATTTGGTATGTAATACATATACATGTAGGACCTACGAATATATTATAATTATTAATAACTATTTGTTTTATAAATAATTATTTTGCCCCTTGATCAATCCAATTCATACCTATGTTAAGGAGCACAATTTTTTTTTGGGAAATTTGGAGGCCGGTCTCCCTATATGGACTTGTTTGGACTTAAGTCTTGTTATGAAATCTATTTTTTGTCAATTTTACCATATAATCCATTCCTTTTTAGAACTGAAATAAAACTAAAAATTAAAAACTCCTAAATCTTAGTAGTTTGATTAACATTAAAATTTTTTCTTTCTCATATCTATCTATATCCATATATAAGTTAAGAGTTTGACTAACATTCAATTTTTTTTCTCTCTTATCTATATATATATATATATATATATATGTATATATATATAGTAACATTAAAAATAAAAAATAGTAACATTCAAATACAAAAAAAAAGTTATCATTTGGACACAAAAAATAATACATTTAAACACAAAAAAATAGTAACATTTAAACATAAAAAAAATTGAAACATTCAATATTAATATTTTTAAAAAATAACAACAGTAGCATGTTCAACAAAAATATTAACGTATTCAACAAAAATAGTAACATACTTAACAATAATTGTTTATTTCAAATTCAAACGCAAAATAGTACCATTCAAATACAAAAAATAGTAATATTCAAATAAAAAAAATATAGTAACATTGAATATTAATATTTAAGAAAATAATAGTAGTAACATGTTCAACAAAAATAGTAACATGCTCAAAAATAATAGTAACATGAATAATAACATACTCAACAAAAGCAGTAACATGAACAGTAACATAATAAAAAAAATAGTGACATGAATTTGAATTTTACTATTTAAATTCATAATAATTTTTTTTTGTATTTGAATATTACTATTTTTATTTTTTAATGTTACTATATATATATATAAGAAAGAGGAAAAATTTTAATGTTAGCCAAACTCTTAATCTATATATGGATATAGATAGATATGAGAGAGAAAAAATTAACTTCTTTCAAAGAGGGGTATTTTTGAGATAAAAAAAAATGACTTAAGTCATTACATATAATTATAAACATGGTTTTAGCCCCTTATAAGTTTTCTTGCAAAACTTATTTCCAAACAAGTACATCTAAGGAGACTCACTTTCAATTTTCACTTTTCTTTTTCATCCTTAAACCCTTAACCTACCTTTTAGGTTTGACGAAACTCATAATCATGAGTTTATATACCCAACCTAGTTGTGGACCGGGTTTGAGAACTCAAATTGAATTTTTAACTCAAATATGAGGTTTGAGGGTCATTTGGATTATTTTCCCTAAACCCTGGACACCAATCCCCCCAAACCCACATAACAAATGGGCCCAAAAAGAAATGAATCCACGAATTTAATAAACAATAAAATGAATTTAATTGTCCTACAAAAGTCACAGTGTAATTAATTGTTGAGTGAAATTAGTACAAATTCTATGTATACGTATCATTCCACAAGGCTCAAATAATTTTTAATTGTTTCTTAAGTAAATAATACTTTTTGTGGGTACTAAACTTTTGCATTATGTGGAATGATCAAGATTTTTACACCTAATTAAAGGTTAATGGTCTTTGCATCTTTGTCAATGAATTTTTTTTTGCATTTTACTTTATAATTTTTTGTCAGTTTAGTACTCATAAATATTAATTTTATTAATTTGATTCCTAAAGTATTTAATCCGTATCACTTTGCTCCATAATCAAATAATCCGTCAAGTTTTTTGATAGCATTGATTACATGTTATTTTTTTAGACGATATTATGTGTTTAACACATGATTAAATTGACAAAAAATACATATTTTACAGACCAAAAATATTATTAATCCAATAAAAATTTTTATAAATTTACAATTCATCGCAAACTCAACTTTACGCCACAAAATCAGCTGTGCCGATTACAAAGAAACAGTTATATAGGGAAACAAACAGGCAGATTGTCTAAATCTCTTATATTTAGTTAACCTTGCATAATAATTTTTATTCTTTGACAAAGTCAACCTTTTTTTTTTTTACTAAGCACCATATTAACAAAAAGACCATAATTAAAATAGTTCATTAAATTGTTTAATAAACTTTTTTTTGAATTAGTGATTTATATTTGAAGATTTATGTAGTTTTCTTGAAATTTTTTGTGTTATTTTATGTAATGAAATTTAGTAGTTAAAACCCAATACATAAAAACCAATAGCAAAATCAGAAAATTTAAAAATTATGTTTAAAAGAAAAAAAATTCTTAACCATAATGGTTTTCTCTTACCAAAAACAATACTCATAATTATTTTTATATTTTTAATAAATCAAAAAACAAAGAATTCTTCACCATATTATTTCAATAATATTCATATTATATTATTTATATATCTAATTTTTTTTGAGAGAGAAAGCTTGAGGATACTTTCTCGTATATTTTCTCAATTCTCAAATTTTGATTTTTTTTTTAAATCTATAATAAAATACAGGACAAGTTTCAATAAGCGTATTTAATGGCCACCAACATCCCTTTTAAATTTTTACTGTACCTTCAAGCACAGATTACTCGTAGTTAAGTATATTTCACATTGTGACCTCATTAAGACTAACCACTCCTTCCTAACGGGCAATAAATCGTTTAAAATCTTCTAAAAAATTAATTTTATTATTGTGATTTTTAAAAATTCTTTTGTTACCCAATTTTTTTTTTATAATTCTCAATTTAACTTTTTAAATGGTGGGATGAGACAGGAGGAGGGGGAGAGAAATGGAAAGAAGGGAAGATGGGGGAGTACATTAACTGGTTCATACAGTTGGAATTAAATTGTACGAATAAAAATGCGGGAGCGTGCGCTTTACGCGCCTTCCAAAACATGTTTCTTTCCCTTGTGGCGCACTACGCACTCCCTCCAATCTTTCCCTTTCGTAGATCATAGGCGCACCGTGCACCCCCGCTCACTCGAACCTAAGTCCCAGCTAAACAAAAGAAGAGTCTAGTTTACTAATGCACTACTCTCTGCTTAACAGCAAGGCGTCCCTGCTAACACTAGTATATTACTCTCTCTCTCTCTCTGTCTCTCACACACACACACGCACACCATTTGTCTTTGTCTCTTTAAAAACACACACTTACTGCACTATCTCTCTCTAAAACTCATTCACATTTCTAGAGAGAGAAACTCAATCTTAAGTTCTTAATGCAGATTTTAAAAGTTCTCTAGATAGAGAAAAAACACAAACTATTTGAACTTCATTCATCTCTCTCTACCTACAAATACTCAGTTTGATTTACAACTGTACAGAAAGCATTTTAACTTAAATCACACCTCTCTCTGTAAAAAATATCTATAGACGTGAATGTATCTATGCTGTGTATACATGTGTTTTTGAAGCCCTAGAGATTGATGTGAGATAGATAGAGTCAGATCGGAGATGGCAGAGTTTCCCGGCGAAGGAGGGCTATCAGGGACGCCGGAAAACGGCAATGTACGGATGGAAGGGAAGATTGGTTCGTCGAGGAGGAGGGCTTCAGTGAGGCCGAGTTTGGACGCGGATGAGTTCATAAATTTGCTTCACGGCTCGGATCCGGTGAGGGTTGAGCTCAATCGGTTGGAGAACGAAGTCAGAGGTGAGGAATGAGAGTTGATCCGATGGTTGTTCTCGTTATTTTTTCTCTGTTATTTTTTTTTCTGGGTTGAGAATACCTTGTCTTTCTGTGTTCAGATAAGGATCGAGAGTTAGTGGAAGCGCAAGCGGAGATCAGGGCGTTGAAGTTATCAGAGCGACTCCGAGAAAAGGCGGTCGAAGAGGTTCTATTTCTTTTAGAGTTATTTTTCATGTTGAAGTTTTATTATTCTTCGTTAATTGTGAATTCAATTGTGCTTTGGGATGGTAATCGTATATCTGCATATGCTTCTGTGGGCGTAATTGGAATGTATAATATACAATTCGACTGCTAAAATGTTGAATCTCTAAACTTCACTTTCACTGATTAAACAAATCTTGCTATTTTGGTGGGCCATAGTGCGGTATTTGAAAACAGCCAATCCGAATGCATTTGTTTTGAATTTTGTTGTTTTGGCTTTGTGTTTGTTCTTGTCTGAATAAGCTAGCAGTGTCCTCGGATGAGCTTCAAATTTCAATTTAACTTTGGATATATTAGTGGTGTCTGTTTCTATTTATCTGAAACATCGTTCAGCATTTGCCATTGTATTTTTAAGCTTACACATAACGTTTTTATTTTCTTGATTGGGTTATTACTGCTGTCTATCCTAATGCATGTTGTGTTTGTTGTCGCAGCATGTATCTGGGAAACGCTTCCAAAGTCTTGTCTGAATTTTTTTTGGAAAAATGTTTTTCCAAATCCAAGACTACATGGCTATATTGCTTGCCAAAGTTACGATGTTTTTATTGGATTCATTAGTAACACGGGTCTAAAATTTTAGCAATTGGATAGTGTAGGTTTAATATTTAGATAAAGGTGCCACTGCAGTTACCATTGCATTTTGTTTCCTTTATGTTTTTTCTCGTTTCCTCCTTCCGATATGGTTCATTGATTCATATTATGTGGGTAGAATGAAAACTGACATAAGTTCCTTTGAATTTTAGCTCACTGAAGAATTGGAAAAGTTGGAGGAGAAGCTCAAGTTGACAGAATCACTTCTAGAAAGCAGAGTAGGCAGTGATGCTCTTTGATCTTCAATATACCTTTCTCCTCTTGCAAATTCATATATAGTGACTATCACTTTTTGTGCAGAATCTTGAAATCAAGAAAATCAATGATGAGAAGAAGGCCTCTATGGCAGCTCAGTTTGCGGCAGAAGCCAGCCTTCGAAGGGTTCATGCTGCTCAAAAAGATGATGATATGCCTCCTATTGAAGCCATCCTTGCACCCTTGGAGGCTGAGCTCAAGCTTGCTCGACAGGAGGTATGCATTGTGCCCTGTATTTGGATGTTTAGTGGTGATTACGCCACAAGAATGGAACTCAAACTAGATGATGGTCAAGGATTTGCTTATTTATTTGTTTCTTTTGTCCCTTTACAGATTGCAAAGTTGCAGGATGACAACAAAGCATTGGATCGCCTTACCAAATCAAAAGAGGCTGCTTTACTTGAAGCTGAAAGGACTGTGCAGGTTGCCTTGGCGAAGGCTTCAATGGTGGATGATCTCCAGAATAAGAACCAAGAGTTGATGAAGCAAATAGAAATTTGCCAGGTGATGTGTTCATGAATGTTGTTTTCCTTTTTCAGGACCATTACAGCACTTTGTCTCACATTTTTTGCTTATTGTAATTTTTCTTTGATCTGGACTCATGTGTCTAATGCATGTGTATCAGGAAGAGAATAAAATTTTGGACAAAATGCACCGCCAAAAGGTTGCTGAGGTCGAAAAGCTCACCCAGACTGTGCGTGAGCTTGAAGAGGCTGTTCTTGCTGGTGGTGCAGCTGCAAATGCTGTGAGGGATTACCAACGGAAAGTTCAAGAGATGAATGTATTATGCCATAGATATCTACTTTGTATAACTGCCTATATATATTGTTCTTGTGCAGGGTTAATCCTTGATATGGCGTTCTTTGGTTGCTGTTTTCAGGATGAAAGAAAAACTCTAGATAGGGAGCTGGCTCGTGCAAAAGTAACAGCAAACAGGGTTGCGGTTGTGGTAGCTAATGAATGGAAAGATGCTAATGACAAAGTGATGCCTGTAAAACAATGGCTTGAAGAAAGAAGGTTTTTGCAGGTATGGGAATTAGTCAGTTTTCACTTACATCTTTTGAATTCTAATATCCTGTTTCTGCATGTACAATGGAGTTTTTATGCATTTTATTTTTGTAGTTTCTCCGGTCAGTAATTATAACTAGAACATGTTGTCATAGGGTGAGATGCAACAATTGCGGGACAAGCTCTCCATAGCTGAGAGAACTGCAAAATCGGAAGCACAGTTGAAGGTATTATGACAGTGCGTCAGTATAAGCATTTCAAGTATATTTTCTCTTATCTGTTTTATTGATACTATTTTTCCCATGCACTCTCCAGGAAAAATATCAATTGCGGCTCAAAGTAATAGAAGACACGTTGAGATTGTCAAACACTAGCGGTCGCAGCACGCCCGATGGAAGAAGTGCAAACGGTCCTTCACGTCGCCAATCCTTGGGTGGAGCTGATAACATCTCCAAATTGACCTCCAATGGCTTTTTACCCAAGAGATCACCATCCTTTCAGCTGAGATCTACTCTGTCTTCTGGCACTAGTACAGTGTTGAAGCATGCAAAAGGAACATCAAAGTCATTCGATGGTGGCACACGATCACTAGATAGGGGTAAAGTCCTCTTAAATGGAGCAGGTCAAAATTTTAATATCCGCCAGTCATGTGAGGGGACCAAGGACAGCGAGGCAAATAATAATCCCATTAAAGGCTACTCTGATGAAAAACCTAGCGACTTCTTAGTGACAGATACAGAGGATACTGTGCCAGGGATGTTGTATGATATGCTACAGAAAGAGGTGATTGCTTTGAGAAAAGCTGGTCATGAAAAAGATCAAAGCCTTAAGGACAAGGATGACGCTATTGAGGTTGTTTGTTTTCTATAGATGTTATGATTTTTTTTTCACATATAGTTTTTGTCTAATGTCTGGTTGTGATTCTTGTTTTGCAGATGTTGGCAAAGAAAGTTGATACTTTAACCAAGGCAATGGAGGTTGAGGCCAAAAAGATGAGGAGGGAGGTAGCGGTGATGGAGAAGGAAGTAGCTGCCATGCGTGTGGAGAAAGAACATGAGAATAGGGCCAAACGTCTTGGAAATTCCAAGGGTCCTGTGACCAGTGCTCAGCTCCTCCCAGGAAGGTATGCTCCCTTCTCACATCACATTTTTATACCTACATACACGCATACATATGTTAATAGATATACTCATCCAATTTTATGGGAGTAGCTCTTGATATATAACATCTTGCAACTTGATTCCCAAATTTGCATTGGTGCTTGGCTAAGAGTAAAGTTAATTTCTTGACCAGATTATGGGACTGGGAAATGCTTAGAGCTAAGTCTGGGTGTCGGTGATGTATCTTTACGGGAGCTTAAATGTTGTTGTCACCTGCTAGACCTCAATGTTCCTTAACTCTTGCTGCATGCATTGATTGGTTTTGGCTCATAGGATTAATTGTTCTGGCTTGAACCCTAACCTGATATGCTGCTTTTCTGTTAAAGACTGAAGTTCCACCTTCTTCATCAAGAGCCTTGGTGGCCTTTCAAGTCTGCAGAATGAAGTTCCCTGCCTTTCATTCTGCCAAACTAAAAAAAGTGGTTTGCTGGTTGGTATAGGTTTTTGTTGCTGGTTAGTTAATAAAGAATTAAAGACACTGCTCTGTTTCTCAGGAAGATTGAAACCAAAGTTTTATAGTTCCAACTAGGACTATTGCAATTTTTTTCTCTTTTGTGTGGAAATAGGGAAAGCGACAGAATATCAGAGGTGTAGAAATAGTCGAGTGAAGGCAGAAAAAATGGTGGTTGGAGTTTTCTGTGGGATAAAAAGAGAGGACCATTTGTAGTTGAATAATCATAATTAGTCTTAGCATAGAGCTTCCAGCGCTAAGAAGCCTTTATGTGTTTAGCATGTGGGCTCCATGTTACTTGCGTTCTAGGTTGTTAAGCCTTCTTTGTGGTATGGGTTTAATAATGTACTGAATATCCAAAGGAAATATGTAGATTATTTTGCTCTCATTGGAGGATTGTTGTTTTTGCCTTAAGAGGTCAGATGACTGATTTTAATTTTTTTTTATTATGGTTATGCCTCGCATGTATGTTTTGCCCTTTTTAGGGCAAATTTTGTTTGTTTAGTCCCCCTCTGCAGATCACCACCTTACCTTAAAAAAAAGCCAGATTACCCTCATATGGTTTATTGACCAAAGTGCACCCTCAAAATTTCCATCCAATTTGATTAGAAAATGTGACACACACACCTAGTAAGTTGAGTCTTAAGTGAAATATTGTGTAGGACAAATTTGCCCTTGGAATCATTAAGAAAAGCCAGTAATAAGCAATGTCTCTCTCTTGAACTTATTTAATATGTGATGTAGATCGTATTAGGGAAGAATTAGGGATGAGAAAGCGAAGAAAAAGGGATGAAAACAGAAAAAGGGGATGAGAAAAGAGAGAGAATTTGAGAAGGACGCAAAATATTCAATACCAGTCGTTAATAATAATCAAAAGTCTTCTAAATAAAACTCTTACATGCATCCATTTATATAGGGAAATTAAAACCCTAAAACAAATAAATAATGACAAATAAACTTTTAAAAGTTAAAAGAAATTACTTAAAAGATAAATACTAAAAGTATTCAAATTAGTCTCATGATTAATCTGAAATATTTATTCAATTCTTATACGATCCCTGTCATTCTCCCCTAGTTGAGAAAAACTTTCCTCCAAAGAGTCTTCAAAGCAGAAGTACCCTAAGAGTGCAGGATGAAGATGACATGTCTTATCTAGAATGAAAAAATCATCAACTTCTTTTCATCGATCAGGATAAATATAAGAATCTCCATCTGTATGAACACCTGCTAATAAAATAGGAGGCACTGGAGTACCTCGATTAAGTAGCATGTCCTCCAAATAAAAATCTGGACTAATACTAACATTCAATGAAAAATTAAGCAAATAGGCATTAGATCCAAACTCAAGAATAGGAAAACAATTTCCATCAGACTTGAACAAGCATTCAGTGGGAGAAGACTTCAATGATAAAAGAGTCGCAATAACGCTTTGGTGCTGGAAATAATTAAGTACAAACTCAAGTGAACACTTGACAATAAGAAGAGGAACAAAGTCAACAATCTTAGATTGGGAAGAATTCGTAACAAAGTCATGATGACTTGGACAAGTAGACACTAAATAGTCACCAGTAGATGCAGCAATAAATGACTCGATTGACTTAATATCTTGCATAGGTGTAGGTTCAATAGACTTTTTCACAATTTTCAAGACCAATGATGGTTCAAGAATTGACCCAAGTAAAGACTCACACATTTTCTTTCGATATGAAATCTTGTGGGTGCAAAAGAGGAAGACTCTTATTTGATGAAATTGAATGAGGGAGTTGGAAGTCAATATGAGTAACATTTTTCTTTTTATCCGATATTAGCATATCTAAATCCTTTGTTACATTCGGATTAGAAAAACATGCAGAAACAACATGGACATCGTTCAAGTAATCATGATACTCATATGTGGTGGAATTAAAATTAGAATGTATCCTTTCACACTGTTTAGCAGACTGTGATTGAAAACCAATCAGGCTATAGTTGAATTTCTTATGAAATCTCTCAATCTTTAGAGCATATTGATAGGCTGCAACAATTGTATTAAAAGTGTATAGCTTGACCTCCCTACTAATTTTTGGTCTTAACCCAAGAATAAACTGATCAATTGTCTAAGATTCTTCAACAATGTCACACAAGTACATGAGATAATTGAACTAAGTAAAGTAATCAGAGACACTAGAAGAATGTTGTTTAAGATTGAGCCGTTGGTTATAAAATTGATTCATGTAAGAAGTAGGCAAATACTTCTTTTTTAATTTATATCTCATTTCAACCCAAGTGTTAGGTGATTCTTCAAAAAGGTCTAGGCTTCTTTGGACTGTTTACTAATACTACTTTGCGGAACCCTTCAACATCAATTTAGCAAAACGAACGTAATGAGAATCCGACATGCCATGCCAATCAAAATATTCTTCTAAATTAGCTAATCAATCTAAGAATTCAAAAAGATTTAAAAGTGCCATTAAATATAGTAGGATCTTTGACTAGTGTGATCAAATGGGTTAACTTCAAGTAAACATCCCTAGACTTCCTATGATAAAGATCTCGACGAGAGACTTGAAACATGTGCATTAGAGGAACTAATGAGTGACTTTTGAAAGATGAGAATGATATAAGAACCAATTCAAGAATGCAATTGACAATTTCAAGAGGTGAAAAAGTTTAAATAAAATAAAATGTGTTTAGACATTTTGCAAATTCTCTAATTTTCTAATGAATAAAAATATTAGTATAAAATTCTATGGGAGTATGCATACCATAATTAAGAGGAAATTTTAAAATTTTTTGGGGATGATTCTATAATTTCTAAAACTTTTGGGGTGATGTTTTTGTAATTTTTTGGAATTTATGGGGGTGATTTTGTAATTTTTTGGATTTGATGGGGATGTTTTTGTAATTCTAAAACTTTTGGATGATTTTTTTGCAATTTACTAGAACTTCTAGGGGTGATTTTGAAATTTTCTAATTTTTACTGGGGACGTTTATGATATTTCAAAACTGTTGGCACAAACCTGTATTTTTTTTTTTTGTAAAACCCTAGTGCCAAAGTTCACCAGTAGTAACAAGGAAGTAGCAGTAGCAATACGAGAAAACGGTGAAAGTGATGGTACCCAAATGATGATGGATCGATGACAATGACACCAACGAAATACAATGCCGAATGTGACTTTGAAACCCAGTCCTTCAAACCTTGATTTTTTTTTTTTTAATATGACTGGACAGTGAGATGTTGGTGGCGATGAACAGTGTCGCTGATGAACAGTGAATAATGCGCGGTGAACAATTTTTTTATTTTTTCAACCAATTGAAATTAGGCTCTGATATCAAATTGATGTAGATTGTATTAGGGAAAAATTAGAGATGAGAAAGGGAAGAAGAAAGGGATGAGAAGGGAAGAAGAAATGGATGAGAAAAGAGAGAGAATTTGAGAAGGAAACAAAATATTTAATACCAGTCGTTAACAATAATTAGAAGTCTTCTAAATAAAACCCTTACATGCATCCCTTTGTATAGGGAAATTAAAATCCTAAAATAAATAAATAATGACAAATAAACCCTCAAAAGTTAAAAAAAATTACTTAAAAGATAAATAATAAAAGTTTCCAAATTAGTCTCATGATTAATTTAAAATATCTATCCAATTCCTATACGATCCCCATCAATATGCTTTTGTGGACTTTTTTGACCTTTTTCCAATCCACATTTCAAACATTGCTTTGCTGAAAAGTTACAGTAGTGGGCAATGGAGGGAGCAAACGTGAGTTGAGGACTTTAAGACAAAAGATTGGAGAAGAATCCACTTGTGGGAATATGGTATGTTCAGAGCCATGAATTACCGGAACGGGGGTATGTTTGGAGGGATGAGGACTCCAAAAACCCCATTGGATTCTGCTATTGTTGGAGGAAATGATAGGACAATCAAAGACTCAGACAATTGCAATTAAATCCTCCTATAAATTCAATTCAAATAAATGTCAAATTAATGACATAACCTTTCGAAAGATTTCGTTTTGATACAAAGCTGGACAAGCCTATTCAAATGCAACCTAATTCACAGGCCCTAACTGTGGCTATTTCATAACTCTAGTATTGAATTCCCTAAATTCAACATTGAGGTCCGACTTAGGCTCTACACGACTCGTCAGTATTATGTACAACTGGAACGTTGTCATAATTGGAACATTTGATGATCTAACTTGAACCTTCGTAGGAAAGGTGCGAGTTTGAGGAGAAAATAGAGAAAAAAGGTAGTTGGAGCAATGTTAAGATTTGGCCTTGAAGCCTTAATTATCCCACACCATATGCGGTTCTCACTGGGCGGAGAGGAAAAAGAGAGATGGAGCAATGATAAGATTTGGACATTAAGACCTTCATTATCCCATGTCCTATTGGGTTCTCACGGAGTGGGTAGTTAGTTTTGAGAGGAGCAAATGAAGAGTGCTGTCTAGTTTTCCCAAATGCAATTGGGGTGGGGTTGGGAGGATCCTATTAGAGTTATAGACATTGTTTCGGTCACCTAATTTTATGTTTTTTTAAGAAGAGGGAGGGTTATAAAGATTCATTTTACCTTTGTCGTCAACTAAGTTAATTGTGTAATTGCTCCACGGTAATGCTCAATTTCCAAATGCGTTACATGATAAATTGACCGTAATATACCTATAATTATATCAGCAAATGTATCTCCGAATATAGGTTAAGAGCTCTAATTTACCTAAAAAATAAGTAACAATAATCTCTACAATATACAAATGAGTCTAATCAAATTATGTAATGAATTTAATAAAAATTATATCGTGATTTCTCCATCGTCAATTCTTCAAATGTCAACTCTAGTCTTTTTCCTCTAGATTATCCTGAAAAATATTAAAAGTGAAAAAATATACAATACGATAGTAAACAATATGCTGAACAATAAAAAATACGAATGATGAAATACCAAATAACTTAGATGATAGGAAACATGCAGAATTATCAATCAAATTGGACATGCCACATAGCTCAACTACTATCAAAATAACCTTATATTCGGTTCATCTTGGTGACATGACAAGTGGTACTTAGGTATATAAATTTATACTCATATAACCAATCACACCCTACATAATTATAATTACAATCGCAACCCGTAGGGCCGTAATCACAATCGCACTCCGTAGGGCCATAATCAAATCGAACAACTATGCCCCAAGTACAATTTGTTCATGTACCAATCAATCTCAAAATATTTAGCTAAAAATATATGTTAGATCAACAAAATACATAAAATTTCATATTAATCAAAAATAGCTAATAGGAATACGAGCTTG